TACTATCATTTTGAAAGGTTACCAAAACCTATGGAATGTGGTTTGGATTTATCTATTCTTTTTTCTTAATCTGTGGTCTAACCGCAACTCTATTGTCTTACATCATCCTCCCCTAGAACTAAATTGTTCCGAAAAACATGCAGTGCCTCAACAGTCAGATGCAGCAAGTAGTTTCACAAACCTGCAAAGCTCCTTTTGAGACTATGTCTTCACAGAGCTTGTTGGAGTTACGAACAAGATTACTTAATGCACCTGCGGCATTTGCTTTTCGTCTTGTCTTCTTGAGCTGTGAGCAATACATTTGCTAGTTGTGGTATAGATGTTCTGAGTTCTTCATACAATGTATCATTGTGGTATGCAGCATTACCAATCTGGAAAGAGAGAGAGAGAGAGAGAGAGTTTTATATAGCATCAATTGTCCCTAGTTTAAAACTACAGTAGCCTTAAGAAGAGAATAGATCTTACAGCAAAACATGCAAACTTCTGCGTGCGCTTGTCTGAATCGGCACATCGATCAATAAGAATATTTACAATCTGATGCTTTGCCTACAATTTATTGGATGGAAAGAAATGATATAAGCCCAAATCAGCATATTATCTCGTCATGTGCATGTGAAGGTTTACCTCTACCCATTTCAATAATAAAGGAAATTAACTAAAAGAATATTACAGTATGCCAGATATGTTTCCAATAATGGGAAAAGTTTAACATTACTTACTAGTGAACAATAAAAATAAGAGCTATGCCTACACATATTCCCAAGAGCACTGCAAGCTTTTGCACGAAGATTTGGATCCTCATGGATGAGAAATACCCGCAAAGACTCTAAAATAGAAGCCCCATGAATAAACTCATAGAAACCCTGCATGCCATTTAGGACAAAAGATCAGCCAAGTTTGGCAAACTTTTGACATCATAATTTTATGATCCGTTTGCTTCTCTTTAAAGAAAGATGCATTTGCAATTGTTTATGTTGCACGTTAAAAGAACTATTCACCACAAAGATTACCGCATATAAAATATTCTGAAATCATCTCTAGGCATTCTTTTGTTTAGTGAAAGGAGGATTACTTATTTAGTGCACAGATAGAGGGATAAGGGAGGAAAACAGGAGCAATCGCTTAATTAAGTTGCATGCAGTGAGTTTGTTGGACGACTTCTAAAGGAATGACAAACTCCTTTAGTGTATGGACATTTTGTAGGCCTCTCTAAAATATAAACTCACCTTATCCATACGTGCTAGATCCGATATGATCATCAGAACATCAAGTAGAACCTCTCTTGGGCTTGAAGAATCAAGCAATCTTCGCATTTTGTTAGGGTTCAACAAGCCTTTTCCCACAAGTTGTAGTGCAAGAGGCCGGTGTCCTACCATCTTGGCAAGCAAGGCAACAGGTCTTCCCAAATCTTTTATCTCCAAGTGATCCAAGCAATGAAGGATAATACCAGGCACCCCTACCTGAAAATTCCAGATG